GTTTAAAAAAAAACAATTTTTGTTTTAAGTCTCTTTAAAATATACCGACACTTCTTGGTATTTTCCTTTCTTTTTCTAAAAAAATAGTAGATCAATTGCAACATTCAAATGAATACCATGACAAGGAGACAAGAGGCACATGAAAGCACATCAAGCTAAAAGGTGGGAAAAACTGGTTATAATAGAGAAGTATTGGGCCCTGTTTGATTGTGGAAAAGTTCCATGGAAAATGGAAAAGAAATTACGTTTCCATCCAAAATTTCCCTTTAATATACTATTTCCATGTAAAACAAAATCAAACGAATACCAAAAAATTCAAAATTTCAACATTTTCCAAGTAGAAAATTATACCAATCAAACATAATTAATTGACAATTCTCAATAAAATGAATTATAGGCAATTCAATTCCCTGGAATTCATTTTCTTTACACCCAAATTCCATCATTACAATCAAACGGACCCTTACTGATTCAAACTCTGACCAAGAAATTCTCAATGCAAATGGTCAAATGCAAGCTGCCTCAAGTATCTGAAAGCATTAATGTAGATTAGGACTATACTATCCAAAAAAAAAATTACACACATTTCTCCATGGACATAAATGCCCACTCACTGCCTCTATACTAAAAGACACAATGTTCTCAAACACATCAGCGAGCAATTAGACATTAATTTCATAAAGCTGTACAAAGCAAATAGATGAAGTTAGATTTCCATCTAAAAGAAAACAACTTAGCAACTACAAAAAACAAGACCCTGTAATCTTCGGTCGATACTCCGAACTCACAATCCTCTAAAAAGACCAGTAAATCACTTTCCAAAATAATTTACAATAGATAAGCCAAGGGAAAAATGAAGAGATCATATAAGCAGAGTAGAAGTTGATTAGCCCCTTTTTTGTTAGGCGGCGAGTTGCTCCTGATTCCATTCAGTAAACCACCGTGATGTACTTACTAAGTGACATACCCAATTTAATATTCACTTCTAGAATAATCACTTCCTTATACTTTCTTAAATTCGCACTAATCATATGTTAGAGTAAAACAAAATAAGGACCCACATATCATCTTATGTCACACATCTAGGGATATAATGGGATAACAGCAAAAGGATAAAAAAATTTAACTAGATCTAATCAATCATTTCAAGTCAAACCAAGATATTCAAATGGGTGAAGAAGAAGCCCAACACATCTACAATAGCAATTTCAAGACTAGTACATAATTATTTCTCTACTGATGTTACACATAGCAAGTTATTTTAATTGTAAATTTAGCCCTTGTTTGATCCCCATTATTTCCAAAATTCATTTTTCTCTTTTTTCTTTGCAACCACACATCTTTCAATAAAATAATATTACACGCAAACTCAAAACTGTTCCTTATATTTGAATCACACATTCTCCATCAATTACTATTCAAAAATGCATTCTTTGCCAAAAAATGGAGCTCAAACAGGGGCTCAAACAAGGGCTTATTTCATCAATACGGGATGAAATAGGTCAAGAATGGGAATATAAGATTGAAACTTAAGGACAGGTATTTTTTACCATGGCAATTTTTAAACAAGTTTATAATTGACTCCTTTGCATGTTTACAGTAAAATAATTACAGGCACAGAACATCAAGAAATATAAAACAAATTGTTATAGCTAAACCATTTGGTAAAAAACATATATAACATGCAAGGTGGAACCTTCATTCCCTTAATTGTTTTAGCCTCTAGCTTATTAAATACAGAAACTGTATATCAATTATAAAACAATCAACTATGTGCCAAAAATATAAATGAAACATGACCATGAAGTACAGTGCGTAAAAACATGTCAATCCACAAAATTATCTGATTTGACGGTCTACCAATTCAAAAGATAACTCACCAGTAAAAATAAGTCTGATAAGCATGTCAAGAGATTTTCTTCTGCATCACAAGGATTTTTGTTGTTCGCATAATATTCTAGCAACTGCTCACGAAATGGAACACAGAAATAAAGAGCCTGCGCAAAAAGGAGAAAAAGTTCGAAGATATTCTCAGAAGCATTGCTATTATCTTCAGAACAAATGCTTTCTCACTGTGAAGGAAACACGCCATGAAGGGTATCAGTAATAAGATTAAATACACCTGAGATTAGGGTAGTTAAATTTATTACTGATGCATGAATCAGTATCTTAACTAAGTGAAGACTCAGTAGAGCAGGAGTCGTCATTTACATTGCCAGTTCCAAGAACAAGACAACAAGACAAATCCATTTCTTTCTGAGACAAATGGACAACAAATTTTGTCCAGCCTAGTTCAGAACATGAACTACATTATGTAGCACATGGTAAACTTTATCTTAAATAATATTTCTAGTATAACAGCCCGTTAGTAGAAGAATGAAAAACAATCAGAGGATGTTTATAGTGCAGTCAAGGAAATCAATTCACCGGACAGTGGTGTTACTCACTACAAAAGTGAAACTCGATTTCAAATCTATTGCCATTATAGGTCAAAGTTGTGGAGAAAAAATGGTAAATTGTATGCATCTTCTAAAGTGTGTCTCTAGCTTTATTCTCACTCCCTAAATTTAAAAGAGATTATTTTCTCATCTTAATGCTTTCCATTTTTCTTTTATGTTCCCCAAGTTCCAAAACAGCATGTACCCATACACAGAAAAAAGGAACAACATTTTTTTTTTTTTT